GGCACCTGCCGCTTTTATGCCCACGGAGCCCAGAGCCACATGTAAGAAATCCTAGATACCCTGGTGGAAAGAGAAGCCAACATGGAGAGGTCCCAGCAGATGAGAAAGCCCCGGCAGGGAAAGCCCCTCTGTGGGACCACTGAGGCGCCAGATGTGAGTGAAGAGCCATGCTGGACTACATGAGGCATCCCACCCCAACCCCAAACCCTGTGGAGCTGAGGCTAGTCATTCCTCCTGTGCCCTGTTTAGATTCACGGGAGAAAACAAAATGGCTGCTTTAACCTACTTAGTTTTGAAGTTGTATTGATGCAGCAATAGATACCTGAAGCATTTTGTTAGGGTGAAGAAGACAGCATACAAATAGCCTAAAATATATACTTTTTACATAATATTAGTGGTTATCACTAGAGATAGGATTACAGGAAGCTTTCTTTAAGTTTTATATTTTGGTTTTTCAAAATTTTTACACTTACTTTTATTTTATAACAAAAATTTTCTTAGTATCATATTATCTTTTTTTTTAAAAGATTTTATTTATTTATCTTTAGAGGGGAAGGGAAGGAGAGAGGGAGAGAAACATCAATGTACGGTTGCCTTTCATGCGTCCCCTGCTGGGAACCGGCCTGCAGGGAACCTGTCTACAACCCCAGTATGTGCCCTGACTGGGAATCGAACCGTGATCGTCTGGTTCGCAGGCCTGCGCTCAATCCACTGAGCTACACCAGCCAGGGCTCATATTATCTTTTTTGACTACTGATTCCCATTAAGCTTATCCCCAATTATATACATAGGTATATACATATATGTGTGTATGTATATATACATGTAAAATAAATATATATGTCTCCAAGGGCAGTTTAACATGGCTTCTCCTGTGATAAAAGACCACCAAAGAAAGTACATTGTTTCTGCTATATAAACAGAACACACCAAGAGTAACTTGTTTTCAAATTCTTGGGCTCTCCTTCCTGGTAAACCCTCCAGGGAAAGTTATCAATTCTCAGGCTGTCCACTTCAGTTATTCCTGTTCATGTGGTTATGGAAGAGCAGTTGCTATGGCAATGCAATCTGACCGAATACCAGAATGTGTCTAAAATTGGTGTAAGTGCCTTTTTCAGGGTTTCCTCTGAGATTAATCATTTTCCAGGAACTGTTAGAACAATGGTGTCAAAACACCTCCTCTAGTCCTAGGACATGGACAGAATGAGGAAGGGTCAGAGAAGGACAAAGCCAGTGGTGCAAAGACCACACCACAAAGGAGCCATTCCTACCACATACTCTGGTTTCTTTTCACCCCCTTCCTTCTCAATGGCTTTGCCACCTTTGGGCCCCTTGGTCCCTTACCTACCTTAACCTGGTACTCTTGTTCACTAGTTGTCTTGCTGGGTTTTCTCTTTGTGTCTCCTACTAACTCTCTTCCCTTTTCTGATGCCCAGTAGTAGGCATATCCTAAATCAAGATCACCATCCTCTCAGTTCTTTCCTCGCTTTCTTGCTCTCTGAAATGTCCTTATTCTTACTTTTTTCTTTCCTTGCTGTCTCCACACATGGATTCCTGAGTCTAACCCTTCATGCCCATCTCCCTTACCGCCTACATTCCTGGGGCCCACAGGACTTCCCACTCAGAAAGCAGAATCTCTCAGGATAGGGTCCTACTTACCTTCCACTTCCTTCCCTGACTCCCCCCATGCCACCCACCAACCTGGACTCTACAGGTCCCCAGCCTTGGAACTGCTTGCAGTTCCTGAAAGCTACCTTGATGACTTTCTCACCTCGCTACCTTATCCAAGTCACGTCCTCTGCCTGGAACGTCCTCCCCATCTTCCCTCCTACCAATGTTACTGGAATCTAGAAGCAGCCCCCTCTGCTGGGCTAGATCTCCTCCTTTATGCTCCCCGCTCCTCAGCACCTATCACATTGATCATTGTTTGAGTCCTGTCTGTTGCTCCCCACTGGGCTGTGAGCTCTCTATAGCAGGATTTTCTCACTCATTGCTGGCTCTCTGGAGCCTGATACATATGAATGCATAAGTGGACATCTGTCATCATCATCTCAAAATCAACATTACCAAACCATCCTCACCAGCCCTGCATCCTAATGTTGCCATTTCCCACAGATTCACAGGCTTTGAGGTGTCTTTGTTGGCTTCCTTTTGTTCCATAAGTTTTGATGACACTTCCACTGCAATTTTCCACAAATTAGCATTTGTTCCTCGCCACATTCATCATCTTAGTTCTGTTCCTCAGCTAGACTAGACTTCACCCAAAGGCTGCTGCCAGACCTCCCTGAACTGGCAGTTTCCTCAACCAGGCCACCCTGCATACAGCCGCCAAATTCACGGCTCTCAGTTTTGCCACCTTGGTCAACAGGCCACGCCTTGACATGCAGGGCCAGGGCTGCCTGCTGTCCCCATCTCTCTTATGTCCTCCTCCCCACCCCCTGCTTCCCCTCTCCACCTAGCCCAGAAGTTCTTACTATCCCCACATGTGCCTCCCTTTGTGTCCTTCTACCTCTGCCTCCATTGTCTCTACCCCTCTCCTCCCACTATTGACTAGTCACATTTAAAATGTCTTTCCTTCATAGAATTCACCCAGTGAAACCGTTTGTTATGGGTTAAGTTATATCTACTACAATTTATATGTCAAAGGCTTAATACCTAGTACCTTAGAATGTGACCTTATTTGGAAGTTGTGTCATCGCAAATGTAGAAGTTAAAATGAGGTCACCCTTTGGCAGGGTGAGTCCATTCCAATATGACTGTGTTCATATAAAAAGGAAGATTTGTATTTTCTTTTTTTATAAGACTATTTATTTTTAGAGAGAGGAAGTGAGAGAGAAAAACATCAATGTGTGGTTGCCTCTCTTGTGTCCCCTACTGGGGACCTGGCCTGCAACCCAGGCAAGTGTCCTAGACTGGAAATTGAACCAGCGACCTCTTGGTTCGCAGGCCGGCACTCACTCCACTGAGCCACACCAGCCAGAGTGTTGAACACTAAGACACACATACAGGGAAAATGCCGTGTGAAGGGACAAAAGGAGAAGACAGCCAAGGAGATGGGCCTGGAGCCGATCCTCCCTCACAGCCTTCAGAAGAAACCAATCGTGCCTACACCTAGATTTTGGACTTCTAGCCTCCAGAACTGTGAGACACTTTCTGTTGTCCTAAGCCACCCATATTGTAGTACTTTGTCACAGTAGCCCAGAAAACTAATACACCTTCCCAATTTTTGCTGACTTTCAATTCCCTCCTCATATATGCCCTCGGTTGAGGCACCTCAGCTAGAGTCCTTGCTCACTGCCTTAAATCCGTTCTCTGCTAGTGTCGGGAGCACATTTCTGACTCCATGACGAGCGTCTGATGCCTAAAGGGTAAGCCTTTCCTTTGTGCTTCTTTTTCATCCCTGAGAGGGCCTGGTACTTTGCTGATCTATAGAGCAGACGGAATTAAATGGAGTTTACCCTGGAGGGCCACACCTTGCTCCTTGTCTGTATATTACCAAGTTTCTCTAAACCCATTGAGGTAAGACAAGAGGCCATGGGCTCCAGGGCACTAGGAGAGAGACTGGCCAGTAACTTTCAGAACTCCTATTGACCTTGGGGAGCACATGGGCTGGGAACCACAGGGAGAGATCATCTAGTCCAACTCTGTCATTTTGCAGAAGAGGATGCTGAGGCCCCGGATGGTTAAAAGCTGTCAAATCACAAAGAGCAAGAGCCAGAGCAGACATCGAGCCTGATCCTCTGACTCCCAGACCGGTGATATGGACTGGGGTGTCTGCCTTGTGGGAAGGGGGCAGGTTGCCCAATGTGCTTCAGAAGATGACCCAGGCAAGCTCTGTAGGGCAGGTCAGCATGCTGCAGATCTAGTGATTTGCAAAAGCACAATTATCGTGAAGGGAGAGGTGATTTAGAACAAAGGGGAAAGACCAGCAGTGCAGGTGAGAGCTCTGAAGACAGAAGGTAAAAAAGTGGTGCCAACACACAATCATGATGGTCACTCTGTGTGTACAGAGTGAAGCAGTCAGCTGCTGTTCTGCCACAGCCCGGGGAAATTCCTGTCACCAGTCAGGACTGGGAGATGCCTAAGGGGGGTGGGGGGCAATGGGGGTGGACAGCCGGATGCCAGCACGTGAATGTGGGTGTAGCCGCCACTGTGTCTTGATGCACTGCAATTGTTTCTGGGTGTAATGAATGAAACCAAGAGCCCCACTCAAAAAAGCCCAGACTTTTTCAGAACAAAGTCAAGAAACAGACATGCATCAGAATTCTGTATCTTACTCAGAAAAGAGGTGAGTCCAAACAGAGTGTATGTTAGAGTACGTGCTTAACATTGTGACCATGCAGACTGCAGCCCTTCAGAATTATGCTCTGAAGAGGCTCTGATGACCTGAGGATATATTTACAATAGTACGTCGGGTGGAAAATGCAGGCTTACAAGAAAAGGCAGATTTAGGAACTGAGCCCTGGGGAGCAATGAGCACAGAAGGGGTGTGTCCAAAATGTGCACAGAGTTTGGCTATGATTTTTTTCAACCTACTCTTTATTTTTGTCCTGTATATTCCCTATATCTATGCCGAGAATGTATTACTTATAGACTGTGAAGATCATTGTTTTTATGTTTAAGACATTAATTCTGTGTTTTTAAGAAAAATATAAGCTGCCATAAATGGGTGGCTCAGTTGGTTGGGGCATCAGCCATACACCAAAATGTTGTGGGTTCGACCCCTGGTTGGGGTGCATATGGGAGGCAACTGATGGTGTTTCTGTCTCACATCAATGTTTCCCTTTCTCCCTCTCTGTCTCTCTCTCACTCCCCCCACCTTCTACTCTCTAAAGAAATCAATAAATATATCCTCAGGAGAGGATAAAAAATTAAAAGAATAGAAAATATAAGCCTTCAGGTGTGACTTGATTCTCTGTGGTCTTCTGCTCTGCTCTCCAGAAATGTCCTCCCTAACCAGGGAGAAATCCCACCCCAGATGGGTCAATTAATTCACTCACATTCCAAATATTTCTGGAGTTGGTCAAATTCTTCAGGAGTGAGGGACACCCAGCGTTCTTCACTCATCTTGAAGCTGGATACGAACACTTGAGGCTGAGGATGGAGTTTTGCTCACCAGGGTGAAACTGTGGCCCAGCCCAGGGCCCGGCTCATTGCAGGTATGTGATAGACAAGCCCTTCGGGAGATGCCTCGGGGATCCAAGTGTCTATGGAGGCGGTGGGCACCTCCCAGCAGGTGAGTGAAGGCCTCTGTTATTCCTCAGGGAACATCCTATCTATAGTCAAGGCAAATTTGGAAATCCTTGCTTGTCCTGGGAAGAAATAGAAAAGACATGGTGAATAAGGGTGTTTGAACATGCAAGCCATCTTTTCTTATTAAAAAAATCTCCAAATTTTCTTGGCTGAAAGGTTTTAGGAGGTAATGGTTCTCAAGGGAAGGATGCTTCCTCAGGGAAGTCTGAAGAGGACACAGAGACCAGACCAGCAGGACTCCAGACGAGTGGCTGGACTGGGGTGGGGCTGGGTGGCCTGTGAAAGTAGGTGGCCATACTTTTAAGCTCTGGGAAATTTTAAAATATCTCCCACAGAAGGTGGTAGTAGAGACAACTCAGGACATCCTCAAGGCATGAAAATGCCTCAGGCTATTGTGTACTGTACTTGTGTAAGTACAAGTACAGTAGCCTGTGTGGGTGATATGAAAGGTGAGCCACTCTCTCCTCCGCTGACTTCTAAATTCCACCATTGAACTTCCTCTGGTGAGTCACTCTGGAAATTCAAATACCCCCAAGGCTGGCTAACATCCTAGTGACTGAAGCAGTTCTCTTTCCTCTCAGAACTACAAAAAAAAAAAAAGCAATCAGAGGGCAGGCTTGTGGGCACCAGTGCAGAAGATCCTGAGGGAGTAGAGGGGGAGGGATTCAGACAAACACTTTTCTTTGAGCCCCTCCTAGCTCCATGGCTCCTGCCATCAGTCACCGAATCAGTTTAGTGGGTTGGGAGATTGTGATGGGCCAGGCCAGCACTTAATAGCATGAAATAGATGAGGAAAGAATGGAATGGAATGAAATGGAGTTGAAGGTAAGAGTTCACCTCCTTTCAGTTACATACACATGTGTATAATAATCATAATGTAAAATGCATTTATTGTTCTGAGTTGAGGTTAAAAATGTTGAAAAGACACTAACCTAATAGGAGGACAAATTAAAGACTGATATTACCAAAGAACAAACCCAGTTTCAGTAAGAGAGGACCCATTATGGAGAGTCAGACTTCAAGGCAAGTCTGGGGAGCCTGGAGCGTATGAGGAACAGCGGAGGGGCTGGAGACCAATTTGTACAGTTTTCTGGAGGAGTGAACCTGCAAGGCTAAACTACAGCTGAGGGAAGATGTTGGCAGGAGATTTGGGCTATGCAGAGAAGACCTTCCACCAATCAGAGCTCTCCAACAGTAGGTGGGAAAGCATGACAAGGGATTGAGATGCCTGCATCCCCTTGAGCACCTAAGTCCTAGTTTCTGTCTTTAAAAAGTCCAGTTCTCTCCAGAATCCACTGACCAGCTGGATTCTGCTTCTTGGCACCTGCTCTTACCAAAGTCCCCAGCTCCCTAATTGTCAAATCCAATCAGCTCCTTGTAGGCCTTTCTTCCTTCATTTGCTCTCTCTGCCAACCTTGCCATGGCAGAAAATAGCCCTTGTGAGCCTCTTATCTTTCTGAGTGTTCCTCCTCAGTCTCTTTCTGCCTCTTCTTTTCCATCATTAAATACTAGGTGTTTCCAGAATACCATCACGAGCCTTCTTCTGCCTCTACATCACCTCCTTGAAAGCTCTTACCCTCCTCCACAGATTCAATGACTCCCTGGCATGCTGCTTGGGTCCTGCATGCTTTCCCCACTCCCATCTGAATTTACAATAGTCACCATGACTCCTATGTTTCAATGCACTCCAAACCGGCACTTTCCCAGGCCTCCAGCCTGCTTCTTGTCTGCATTCTGGTTGTGCCCTGAGAGGAGCCAGGACTCAGCTGGAGCAGGTCCCCCTTTCTTTCCTGCCAAACCACTGGCACCAGTCCCAGAGTGTGACTGTCCGCTGTGTGTTCCCTCCTCTCCATCACACTGGCAGGTTCATTAACTCAGATCCCCATCTTTTTTCTCCTGGTCTCTGGCAACAGCCTCCTCCTGGTCTTCCTGCCTTGAGTTTTGCTCTCCTCCCCTTGGCAGGCTCTAAATTGCCAACCAGATCATATCTCTCTGGGTAATAAAACTCTTTAGTGGTTTCTATTGCCTATACAATAAAATGTAATCATCTTTTCATGATACACAGAGCTCTTTATGATCTGATTGTTGTTTCAGTCCAAAATTGAGGAGTGACCTTTAAAAATGTGTTCCATCATACCAGGGAACTTAACATCACAACTGGTATTACCACTGCCACTGAACACTTGTTTTACACTGTGTTCTATGCTTTACATATGTTATCTCATGTGGTCCTCATGACAACTATGTACAGTAGCACCACCTTCCCTATTTTTAGATGAGAAAAATGAGGCAAAGGGTTTAGTGGATACGGTGAGGAGAAAGAAAGACCCCCCAGTGCTTTTGTGTGAGAATACCTTTCTGATGTATCATTCTGCAGACTTTCAGAAGCTCAGGGCACTAAGAGGGCCCAGAGACACAGGACATGATGGAACACCGTGGAACTCAAAATCAGAAGGCAGGCGACTGGAATCCTGGCTGTGACTCTTACAGCTATTTAACTTTAGACATTTTTTTTTTGCTTCTTAAACCTTGGCTTCTTTATCTCAAAAATGAAAATTCTAATACAAATTTCACTGAGTTAGTGTTAGAGTTAACTGAGTTAATATATGCAAAAAATCCTACCCCCAAACCCCACCCAGCAAAATGCCTATCACACAGTGGGCACTCAATAAGTAATGACTGCTATTATCCTGTTGCAAACCCAGTACAGCATTATGACTTAAACAACCAGTTGAAAAGCAGTGGGGTACAAAGTCTCTGTGTTGTGCCAAAGATTTCTGAACTTGATCTTATCCTGCTCCAAGTTGTGGTAATTTAGTGAAGACTCATCAAACTTTTATCCACTAGTTTAACATCCAACTGATGATGCTTGCCAGGATTAATTATTATGATGATAGCAAATTCCTAATTCCATTGTTCCCTTTATATTTATTAGTTGGGATTCTACTGCTAGAGAGAGTTTTTTCTTCTTTATTTTTTATATCAATTAAAATATTTTAATTTATACTACAAAAACTGCAGTTGAATACTGGTTGAATAGACCAGTTGAAGTTGATAGCAATCAAATCAAGATGTTAATTGGGAACAATAAACATTATACACATGGGAGATAGCCGATATACTAAAAATATCCAAATCAATAAAGTTATTGGTGAAAATGAAAATTGCATCTTTTATGTAACAGAGAAAACTAAATAGATTTTTTTGCCAACCCAATAATTAGCACCCAAGCAGTAAGAGTAGTGGCGCAGATATGTGCAGGGGAGTATGGGCCATCTAATGTGTCGGGAGCAGGCACAGGGAAGAGGGAAAAGGTTCCTGAAGGAACTGAGGAGGGGTCACAAGATAAAAAGATATGTGTTGCAGTAACTCAACAAATGTTCACATTATTATCACTTGTGTTCTACTGTAGCTCGGTGTTCAACTTCCTGGTGAATGGAGCTGCACCATTCTTTATTTCTGTCAGGGAAGGTGAGGGGCTTGCAGTGCTGCCTGGCTCTGTAAATGGCACCTGCTGACCAGGCTCTCACACGAAGGCCCCCTCCAGTTCTCTGGCCTTTGATAGAGACAACAGCTACCATACAAGAGGGCTTGCTCCTGCCATCTCCCGCATTTTCCTTTCAGCATCCTGCCCTATCGCTCCTGTCTTAGATCCTCTTGACAGAATGAACAGTCATTTTATTACCACCCCTGAACATCTTTTCTGACAGAAAAAGAATGTAATAGGGTTTTCTAAATAACACTCAGATTAGATATTGTCAGGCCTGGATGGAAGAAGAGTGTTTTCTGTCCCTGCAGCTATTCCACTCTCCACAATACTTGCAGCTCCTTGGGCCTCAGTTTCCTTGACTATAAAATGAGGGGGTGGGAATAATGGCTCCTGACTTATTTTTTAGCTCTGCAATTTCATATACTGGATCAAACTCTATTTGTTCTGAACAGATGTCAGCATGGAAATCTCAAGTCAGGAGGAAGACGGCAAATTCAATGGGTATTGAATTGCACCCCAGGTCTCTATTCATTTGAATGAATCAGCCATAGCCAATTATGCAGGAACAAACACCTCTTCATCTCCTCTTTGCTCTCATAAAAACATTAATTCATGAATATGGCATCAGATTGGGGGAGTTTATTTGTATGCCTCTGATGATTTATAACAAAATCATAATGAGCATATTTTTAAAAGATAAGAATGACTAAAAGCTAGAGAGATTAAAAAACCCACTCTTGCCAGACTTGTGAGGAGTCACATCTTGATAACTGCCCCATCTCTGGGCCTTTGCTCCTACTGACTCTTCAGCTCTGTCACTCTTATGCAGCCTTTGGAGTTCAATTCAAGTATCATCTACTCTAAGAAGCTTCCTTTATTTGTCCAGAGTGTGCAGGCACATCTTCTCTGCTCTCCAATAGCTCCTTGGGCTTTTCTCCATGATGGTACTGACTGCAATGGCCCTATGAGACTCTGAGCTTCTTCAGGGTGAAAATAGTGTCCTGCCTACTTTGTAGCTCCAGCTGCTACAATATTTCTAAAGCCTCACTTCTTGACCACTAGAAAGATGGTTCTTAATCTTTTGGACTGAGACCATTTGTGTGGGGCAGAAGATTCTGCCACACCTGTTTGTACGTCCGAGCAGAAAAAGAACTGAGTGGTAGGAAAGAACTGGAGAGGAACAAAAGACACAAGTTGACATAAAATTATTGATAATGTTATTTATGAGTCCCTTATTTTATAATAAAAAACATGAATCAGTGCACACATTTTACTAAGATAATCACTATATTAATTAACTATAAACTATAATCTATGAGCTTATAACACTTACTTTATTATGCTTGACCTTATAACATGTTGGGAGTTACATAAGTTGCTTAACCTCATCAGTGAGTTGTCGCTACTGTAGCAGGGTTACAGATGTCCCAGAAACCATGCCTCCTGATAGTTGTGCCCTTTTTAGTCCCTTCCCCTTGAGTCTGCACTGTGCCTGTGACTTGCTTTAACCAACAGAATGAAGTAGAAGTGACACTGGGACAGTGTCAGGCCTAAGACTTGAGAGGGCCT